TCACATGTGATAACTTGACAGTTTTCAACCTTGACTACATATGGAATCATATATAAAGATTTAAAAAATTCTGATGTACAGGACACAACCCAAATGAAAATCAAAATTCCTCATGTAAAGCCCACACATCATTTTTTTTCTTTTCAAAAATATTCTTATTAAGGTATAATTGACATATAATGTTATATTAGTTTCAGGTGGGCAACAGAATGATCGAGTATTTGTATATATCAGAAAATAATCATCACAATAAGTCTAGTTAACATCATTACCATACATAGTAACAGAAATTGTTTTTCTTGTGAGGAGAACTTTTAAGATCAACTATCTTAGCAACTTTCAAATATGCAATACAGTATTATCACTGTAATCACCATGCTGTGCATTACATCCCTATGACTTCTTTATTCTTTTTTCTTTCTTGTCTTATTTTTATTTCTCATTTTACCAATAGGAGTAGGATGAATTGAAGGCTTTTGGGCGAGAACTTTTATTAATTTTTATTTCTCTTTAAATTTATTTTTATAGTATAGTTAACACACAATGTTACATTTCCAATGTACAACAGTAATTTGACAAGTCTATGCATTATGCTGTGCTCACCGTAAGTGTAGCCACCATCTGTCGCCATACAGCACTATTACAATACCATCGACTATATTCCCTGTAATGTGCCTTTTATGCTCATGACTTACTCATTCCATAACTGAAAGCCTGTATCTTCCATTCCCCTGCACCCATTTTGCCCATTCTCCAACTCCCTTCCCTCTGGAAACATGTTTGTTCTCTGTACTTACAGGTTTGTTTCTGCTTTTCATTTTTTTTTGTTTTGTTTTGTTCTTTAGATTCCACATATAAGTGAAATCATATGCTAGTCATCTTTCTTTTTCTTAGTTATTTTGCTTAGCAAATACCCCTTTGATTTATCCATGTTGTTGCAAATGTCACATCTTCTTTTTTTTGTCCTACTTATTTTTTTTTTTGATGTAGTGTTCCATGATTCATTGTTTGCGTATAACACCCAGTGCTCCATTCAATACGTGCCCTCTTTAATACCCATCACCAGGCTAACCCATCCCCCCACACCCTTCCCCTTTAGAACCCTCAGTTTGTTTCTCAGAGTCCATAGTCTCTCATCTCCCCCTCCAATTTCCTCCCCTTCCTTTTTTCCTTCCTGCTATCTTATTCTTTTTTTTTTTTTTAACCTATAATGTATTATTTGTTTCAGAGGTACAGGTCTGTGATTCAACAGTCTTACACAATTCACAGCGCTCACCGTAGCACATACCCTCCCCAATGTCTATCACCCAGCCACCCCATCCCTCCCACCCCCACCACTCCAGCAACCCTCAGTTTGTTTCCTGAGATTAAGAATTCCTCATATCAGTGAGGTCATATGGGACATGTCTTTCTCTGATTGACTTAGCATAATACCCTCTAGTTCCATCTATGTCATTGCAAATTGCAAGATTTCGGGAGTTTTTTTTGATGGCTGCATAACATTCTATTATATATATGTATATATAAACACATCTTCTTTATCCATTCATCTATGGACAGACACAGGCTGCTTCCATATCTTGGCTATTGTAAATAATGCTGCAATAACCATAGGGGTGCATATATCTTTTCAAATTACTGTTTTTATTTTCTTTTTGTAAATACTGAATTACTGAATCATATGGCATTTTCATTTTTAATTCCTTGAGGAACCTCCATACTGTTTTCCACAGTGACTGCACAAATTTACATTCCCACCAACAGTGCACAAGTGTTCCTTTTTCTCCACATCCTCATTTTTTTAATGCTCTCCAAAATATTTCAATGTCCAGTCAAGGTTGAAAACCACTAACCCAGAATAATTAGATAATTAGGAGAGTTATACATTACTGAAAAAAAGGCAAACAATGTCATTTCCATATAAAATTAATTCTTTCACACACTTGGGGCGCCTGGATGGCTCAGATAGTTAAACATCTGCTTTCAGCTCGGATCATGATCTCAGGGTCCTGGGATCGAGCCCCATGTCTGGCTCTCGGCTCAGCGGGGACTCTGCCTCTCTCTCCCTCTGCCCCTACCCCTGCTTGTGCTCTCTCTCTCTCAAATGAATAAGTAAAAAAAAAAAAAAATCTTTAAAAAATCTTTCACACACTTTATAAAGTGTGCATATATGTATACACGATATTACATATATACATATATATATAATCATTAACCTTAAAAATCTATATGCACACACACACACACACACACACACACGGATACAAATATATCACAGGACAAGTAATTCTTTTCCTGTACTCACGTTCTAGCTGACCTGAAAAAAAACTTTCTTTCCCTTCAAAAGTATTCAGAGAAGTACATTTTTCTACTTCACACTCTTGCCATCACAGGAAGAGTTACCTTATTGGTAAGGTTTTTTTTTTTTAAGATTTTATTTATTTATTTGAGAGGGAGGGTGAGGGAGGGAGAGAGGCGAGGGGGGGTGGGGTCGGGGGGGCAGGCTCCCCGCTCAGCAGGGAGCCCCATGTGGGACTCAATCCTGGGGCTCGATCCCGGGACTCCGGGATCATGACCCGAGCTGAAGGCAGTCGCTTAACCAACTGAGCCACCCAGGTGCCCCCTTATTGGTAAGCTTTTAATCATTCTCTGTATTCTCCTTCCTGACCCCACATGGCATCTTTCTCTGAGCATGTTCTCAATCAAATGCTCAGCTAAATTGAAAAGGACTGCATCTCAAATGAATAAATTATTATATGCTACAGTCCATCACTCACCCACACATACTTTTTGGAAGGGGACAAGAGGTATATAAAGGAGAGATATTAAGCCTGAGTTTCTGCAAAGGTAATGGAGCAACTAAAAGAAAGGAATGATCCAGTGGAAGGAGAGGTGAAGTTGGATTATTTTTGATTATTTTGATTTTGAGGTGTTGGAAGGCAGTTGGAATTGAGAACTTGTACTCCAGAAAATAGGCCAAAATTGAGGATCCCATTTGGGATTCCTGCACAGAACCATGATTAGTAAAATAATTAAAGTTAGGACAATAATAAGAAACATTTCAAATGCATAATATTTAATTACTTAGATCTGGTATCCATCAATAATGATGACGGAACACCACATACTTTAATCACTAATGCTTAATTGAACTCAACATTCAGAAAAGTTATAGACTGGGAAAGTTGCCACCAAATTTGAGATCATTTTAAGCTGTTATTCTTTCATGCCTTTACTGATGAATATTAGATGAATCTAGAGTACTTAGCTGAACAGCTCTATTTTGTTTCTGGATATATTTTATTTCTATTATTTAATGACACATGTTGCAAAGGCACAACTACTTTTAATATGCCATTATTTAACTAATCCACAAGTTGACTGTCTATAAAATGGTCTTTCTGGCTAAGTGAGCCCTACCTACAAGAATAATGACACTCAATCAAAGTTAAATCTCAACAAAGTTAGAGATTACTTCAAAACTCATACCTTGGTTACTTATTTTGGACATAGAGAGGAAACAGATTATTAATATTAAATGTGTAGATCCCAAGAATTTATTACCTTACTTAAATAGAGCCTCTACATGCTACTATTTCTTTTGGTTTTTATGGTTAAACCTTCAATAATATTTTTCATATGAATAGAAGTCTACCTTTTAGTCAAAAATGATTGCTTTCATTCTGGAAAAATATTAAGAGTACAGTAATAAAATTCAATGTAGCATTAACTGTTTTGGTAATCCAACATATAACTCTCTCTCAAAATCTAGAAAACATTATCGCATCATAGTGTGGGCTTTGGACTGTTTGATATGGTTCAAATCCTCACTCTGAAAATGTACTGGTTATGCAACTATTTGCATATAACCTCCTAAAGTCAGTTTTTCATGTATAAAATGAAGATCAACATATAAAGTGTTAGAACAACCCAGGGAAGAGAAAGTGCCATAGCAGTCTTGAGAGACAGAGGTCAACCCATACATAGCCCATCCATGTCAGAAGCCTAGTGGGTTTAGCCATTATACTGAGCGAACCCTCAATGCCAATAAACCAAGGTCTGTTCTCTAGCTATTTGATTAACATAGATAAAATTCCTTGGATCTGAGGGGGTAAGGATGACTGCAGTTTAAATCATTCTATGCAATGTATTTGGATGAATGTTGAGGAAATCAACTCTTTCATGTGCAGAATTTCAATCAATCTACTAGTTATAAACTAATGCCTCCTGTCATTTTTCATATCTGACATTTCTGAGCTCTGAGTCTTATGAGGGTTTTATGGATGGCTGATCCTTCCTCAGGTATTTCCCTCTGCTTATTTTTGACTTCACTTTCTCCTGCTTTGTTTCATCAATTATCATATCTCTATCTTTTGGGAAGTGGCTGATTTTTTTTTCCTTATCTGTTTAGAATTCACTTATTTTTCATTATTGTTTTAGACTTCTAAATTTTTATTCCTTTAATATAATATTAATGGAGCTTTAGAAGAGCCAGGAGATTAAAATCTATTGTTTTCTATATTGCACTCAAGAGGAAAATTCTATGAACCTTATTTAAACATAAGATTTATTTTTTTATGACACAACCTTGAGTTATTTTGACAGAGAGTTTATTTCTGTCTCTGAAATATAATTTTCCAGCTTGGAAATCCTCTGTAGGATCCATGCTTTGACTCAGTTTGATGTTAATATTATAAACCACATGGAAAAGAAAGAGGTTTAAGGGAATTTTTACCTAGGTTAAAAAAAAGGTAATACCTAGGTAAATGCAATGCATTTCAAGATGAGAAGATGCATTTCTATCGCCTCCATAATAAAATCCCTTTTTTTTTGTCCTCCCTTCCAAATTGCTGTTCCACTTTGGAGAAAATGCTGAATGATCAGAGTTTCTACCAGAGACTATATGTCTGAACTAAAAGAGGAAGTGGTTTATAGAAGAAAAAAGGGGTATGAGATCTTCTGTGGTATTAAATGTTAAAATTATTACAAACCTAGAAAACAAACTGTAGAGCAAGAAACTGCTGGATGAATAGTAGTTTTCTTCCATATCATGAAGTGTTCAAAAATCTATTACCTTGATTGGTAAGACGGAACACATTGCTTTTGTCCTATATTCATAGAGGAAATCCACCAAATTTGGGAGAGCAGATTATTTGACTTCACCAGAAGCTTATTTGCAGAACTATGAGACTCCCTTCAGTAGAACATCATTTTTGGTCTTCTCTCTCTTTTTAATATGCACAATGGCTGGAGATATAGTCTATGCTGATATTAAAATTGATGGGAATCTTTCTTTAGAAAATTCATCCTCCCTTCAGAAATCTGGTAAGTTGGCTTTAGAGGTCTTTTAAAAACTGATATTTTACCTTTAATCTCCTTTATTTCTATCCTGCATTTGTTTATGTCTTACTAAAAATAGAAGACTAGATTCTAAGAAAAATTGATTGAATGCAAGAATAAGAGTGAATTTTTTAATGAAACAAAGTTAATTGTAATTTTATTTTCTTCTTTTCTTTTTCAAGTTTTTATTTAAATTCCAGCTAGTTAAATACAGTGTAATATTAGTTTCAGGTGTAGAATTTAGTGACTCATCACTTTCATAAAACACCGTGGATGCAGCTAGAGAATATTATGCTAAGCGAAATAAGTCAGTCAGAGAAAGACAAATACCATGTGATTTCACTCATATGTAGAATTTAAAAAACAAAACAAATGAACATAGGGGGGGAAAAGAGAGAGGCAAACCAAAAAAACAGACTCTTAACTATAGAGAACAAACTGATGGTTACTGGAAGGGAGGGGAGCAGGGGGATGAGTTGAACTATGCTTTTGATTTTCATAGCCTTTCTATTCTTTTTATTTCTTACAGTGACCACTTACACTCATACAGTGACATCTATATTTATGACCCCTTTCTTTACAGCTTTATGTACCCCTGATTATATCTTTCCTTTTAATATAATATGATAAATTCATTTACACAAAGGAAAAGAGCATTTTGCTATATAATTCACATTGTTAATTATCTTTTTTAAATTTGCATATTGATAGGATAACAATGTTAAACTGAACTAAGGAGACATGAAATGTTATTATTTTATTTCATGAAGTTTAGAATTAATGAACCTCTGAGTAATGGAATATTTGTGAAATACAAAGAGAAAGGCATATAACTAAAGATAACATTGTACCTTAAACATAAGCCACCTGAAAGATGATAGATCTTCATATTCAGTGTGTTTTTTATCCTTTAAAGTATTAGGGAAATTTTCATGTTGCATTTCTCTTCTTTTCTCTAGGATAAGAGTTTTTTATATTATAAAGTTTATATAAAATGTTTACATAATTTAAATCTCCTCATTGCATTTGCCCTTGTGGAATGAATATAATGTTTTGCTTTTCTATATTTCCAAAGAATGTATTTCTTCTTTTATATTTTTTAGTTTGCAGTTACCAAATGAATCTGAGGCGTGGTTTTCTCTGGTTGCAAAAGCATATTATTCCTTAATTTTAAACATTACCTCTCTGACTTTGCCCAATAAAAGCTTATTCGCTATCTTTTCTCCCTAGACTGGGTGCTCTCATTTCCTTTCCTTTTTTTTTTTTTAAATTTTATTTATTTATTTGACAGAGAGAGAGAGAGACAGAGAGAGAGGGAACACAAACAGAGGGAGTGAGAGAGGGAGAAGCAGGCCTCCCACCAAGCAGGGAGCCCAATGCGGGGCTTGATCCCAGGATCCTGGGATCATGACCTGAGCTGTAGGCAGACGTTTAATGACTGAGCCACTCAGGCGCCCCTCATTTTCTATGAGAAGATAGAACTTAATTTGAAAAATAATGTGGACTAGAGTTGCTTTCTTATTCTCCCACCCATAAAAACTCTCATACTATTAGTCTAATTTCCTAGAAGTTATTTTAGCTCACTTCAAGCAACAAAACTAGTATTTTCAATTTTGCATTCCAGGGTTTTATTTCCTTTTTTTTTAATTATGTTATGTTAATCACCATACATTACATCATTAGTTTTTGATGTAGTGTTCCATGATTCATTGCTTATGTATAACACCCACTGCTCCATTAAGTACATGCCCTCTTTAATACCCATCACCAAGCTAACCCATCCCCCCACCCCACTCCCCTCTAGAACCCTCAGTTTGTTTCTCAGAGTCCATAGTCTCTCATGGTTCATCTCCCCCTCTGATTCCCCCCCTTCATTTTTCCCTTCCTGCTATCTTCTTCTTTTTTTTTAAACATATAATCTATGATTTGTTTCAGAGGTACAGATCTGTGATTCAACAATCTTACACAATTCACAGCGCTCACCATAGCACATACCTTCCCCAATGTCTATCACCCAGCCACCCCATCCTTCCCACCCCCCACCACTCCAGCAACCCTCAATTTGTTTCCTGAGATTAAAAATTCCTCATATCAGTGAGGTCATATGAGACATGTCTTTCTCTGACTTTCTTATTTCGCTCAGCATAATACCCTCCAGTTCCATCCATGTCGTTGCAAATGGCAAGATTGCATTCCTCTTGATGGCTGCATAATATTCCATTGTATATATATATACCACATCTTCTTGATCCATTCATCTGTTGATGGACATCTCGGCTCTTTCCACAGTTTTGCTATTGTGGACATTGCTGCTATAAACCTTGGGGTGCACATACCCCTTCGGATCCCTACATTTGTATCTTTGGGGTAAATACCCAGTAGTGCAATTGCTGGGTCATATGGTCACTCTATTTTCAACTTTTTGAGGAACCTCCATACTGTTTTCCAGAGTAGCTGCACCAGCTTGCATTCCCACCAACAGTGGAGGAGGGTTCTGTTTTCTCTGCATCTCTGCCAACATCAGTCATTTCCTGACTTGTTAATTTTAGCCATTCTGGCTGGTGTGAGGTGGTATCTCATTGAGGTTCTGATTTGGATTTCCCTGATGCCGAGCGACGTTGAGCACTTTTTCATGTCTGTTGCCATTTGGATGTCTTCTTTGGAAAAATGTCTGTTCTTGTCTTCTGCCCATTTCTTGATTGGATCATTTGTTCTTTGGGTGTTGAGTTTAAGAAGTTCTTTATCAATTTTGGATACTAGCCCTTTATCTGATATGTCATTTGCAAATATTTTCTCCCATTCTGTCAGTTGTCTTTTGGTTTTGTGGACTGTTTCTTTTGCTGTGCAAAAGCTTCTTATCTTGATGAAATCCCAATAGTTCATTTTTGCCCTTGCTTCCCTTGCCTTTGGCGATGTGTCTAGGAAGGAGTTGCTGTGGTTGAGGTCAAAGAGGTTGCTGCCTGTGTTCTCCTTTAGGATTTTCATGGATTCCTGTCTCACATCGAGGTCTTTCAACTATTTTGAGTCTATTTTTGTGTGTGGTTTAAGGAAATGGTCCAATTTCATTCTTCTGCATGTGGCTATCCAATTTTCCCAACACCATTTGTTGAAGAGACTTTTTTCCATTGGACATTCTTTCCTGCTTTGTCGAAGATGAGTTGACCATAGAGTTGAGGGTCCATTGCTGGGCTCTCTATTCTGTTCCACTGATCTATGGGTCTGTTTTTGTGCCAGTCCCAAACTATCTTGATGATGACAGCTTTGTAATAGAGCTTGAAGTCCAGAATTGTGATGCCACAAGCTCTGCTTTTCTTTTTCAACATTCCTCTGACTATTCGGGGTCTTTTCTGGTTCCATACAAATTTTAGGATTTGTATTTGTTCCATTTCTTTGAAAAAAGTTGATTGATTTACTTTTTGTTTACAGATAGAACTTTACTTCTTTCCTGGTTTAGAGATTTGGGGATTACCCACAATGGTGCTTGTGACAAGAAGTCAAATGTTTTTTACTCTTTCATTGCATATCCCTAGGGTTGTATAAATAAAACTTCTGTTCTCATGTGTCATATCACTGTAGAGGGAAAGAATTATTTGATACACCAAATTGTCATGTCCTACAGAGCCCTACATACACTATGACATGACTCTAGTCTTCCTCTTCTAACTCCCTATGTCTTACTTACTTTGCTCTGGCTATTGTCCTCTTTCCTCCTTGAAGTTACCATATTCCTTACCACTTCAGAGCCTCATATGTGCTGAGACAGTTTCCCTAATCTCTTAATCTTCATATTCCCAGCATCTCACACAGTACCAAGTATATAGCAGGCAATCAGAAGATGCTTAGTAAATGGATGAATGTATAAATGGATAAATAAATAAATGGATCTCCTGAAATACTCAATAGATATTATAGGTTCATTGGTTCTCTAAGATAAAACAAAGAAGGCTGTCATGATGAAATTGAGCCGATTATCGATGGGAAAGTATGATTCCACTGAGACTATCCCAGGCTAACACTGAGAAATTCATGCTTTTCGTAAATCTTACGTTGGGGCCTAAGAGAATGACCTAATATCCTTTATGTCAGTCTTTTAATGAAATCTGAAATTTTATTCTGTAAGTCTTTAGGTCTGTAAACTTAGTTGTTTATATTAAATATATATGTAGGGATACCATCATCTTCTTCTTGCAATTACCTTAACTGGCACAATTTGCATTGTTTTCCATGATAAATGAAAATACATGGATATTTTATGTTCTGAGAATTAATAAGCTTCCATGAAAGATGTTTTACTTAACAGCAGTAATAATTTGAACATAGAACAAGTACTCTATAATAATAGATTAGCATTCGGTTAATTGGTCTTAATGCTTGACTTTATAATTCGTTGTATTTCAACACCAATTATTTTATTACTTGCTCAGTGTATTATATGCATGTTTGTGTTTATCATATATCTAGTGGAATTGATACACTGCAATTATTTTGGATTAGAGATTGTTGGTTTAACTATCAGCCAAAGATAATAATTCTTGCTTCTTTTTCAGATTTATTATTATCTTTTGACCAATAAAAGGCAATGAGATAGTATGGATAGCAAACCAGCCACTCGTTTGGTAATCAGGAGAGCTGAGGCCTAATCTCAGCTCTGTCACCAAATAACTGTGTGATTGTGGACTTGAATATGCCCATAAATATGTAGATGTTGGACAAGGTAATCCCTAAGAGTACTTATATTTTAAAATAAAAATGAATGAAATTATAGTGATATATCACTATTTAAGTAGGTGCATTACATAAAAGAGAAAAGAATGGATCAATCCAAATAGGTGGGTGTTGTCAATAAACTTATTAGAGAATCTGGAGGATTTCAATCTTATATAAAAACTTAGGACTGTAGAGAGTAGATCATTGTAAGATTAATGCTGTGGAACATGCATGATGAACCCACAAACAAAAATTCATATCCACTCAGTTTTATAAGTCCCCTCTTCACAAACCAGAAAACCAAATATGTTCTCTGTGTGTGTGTGCATGTGAGCAAAAAGAAGCTGGGTCTATGTATTTCAAAGGAAATTAACTTAGAAGCATGATAACCAAGAAAGTTTATTCAGCTCCTTCTTATCTCTAACCATATAAGGAATTACCTGCTGGGCTTACTATCCAATTTTATCTGTCCAATCTATCCAACTTTGTAGATCCTCGCCGTCACAGAATTTTCCTGAAAGTTGGATGTGCAATGATCATCATTCTCTTTGTAACAGTAATTGTGCTGAGCATTTTGGGTAAGTAATTATCAAAATGATTCATTTATGCTGAAGCATTTTTCTCTAATGACCTGTTGTAATTGTGTTTGCTGCTCAAGTGGTTCTTGAACAATACAGGACAACTCCACAAAATGTATGAAATTTGAAAAAATTAAAATTAGAGATATTTCCATAGAACTTCAGCCTGTGATGTCATTATGGATTCAAATGAACTGATAAAGGAAAGAGAAGTCAGGACTATGTTTATATTTTATGGTCAAAATCACACAATGCAGTTTGATAGTGAACTAAATATAAGCTTCTCTAAAACTACATTCAGATGAAAGGAAATGAAATTGTGTAGTATATTTCTGTGTAATTTTATTCATAATAGCTACTACTGGACATTATCAATCTTGTATCAATAGGTGAGAAACTTGCCTACAATTAATCAACTAAATGCAGCATTTAAAAATTGTATTCATGTACTTTGGACCTAACAGCATAATCTAATATTCAGATAGCAAATGTTTTAATTATTGAATAAATGCTTGGAGTAAAGTTTTTCACATATATCTATAGAACAAAGGTAATATACAGATTGTATATATTCCCAGGAATTCAGGTTTCCAGATGAAACCCTAGAACAGGCCAATGCATACCTGCCTATGTCAAAGAATCCTTGTGAATGATATTAGCAGTTATGAATGGCATTGTGAGAATGCAAGCTGGTGCAGCCACTCTGGAAAACAGTATGGAGTGTCCTCAAAAAGTTGAAAATAGAGCTACCTGATGACCCAGCAATTGCACTACTGGGTATTTGCCCCAAAGATACAAATGTAGTGATCCGAAGGGGCACATGCACCCCAATGTTTATAGCAGCAATGTCCACAATAGCCAAACTATGGAAAGAGCCTAGATGCCCATCAACAGATGAATGGATAAAGAAGATGTGGTATATGTATACAATGGAATTTTAGGCAACCATCAAAAAAATGAAATCTTGCCATTTGCAACGACATAGATAGAACTAGAGGGTATTATGCTAAGCAAAATAAATCAATCAGAGAAAGACAATTATCATATGATTTCACTGATATGTGGAATTTGAGAAACAAGGTGAAGGGAGGGAAAAGTGAAACAAGATGAAACCCGAGAAGGAGACAAACCATGAGAGACTCTTAATCTCAGGAAACAAACTGAGAGTTGCTGGAGTGGAGGAGGGTGGGAGGGATGGGGTGGCTGGGTGATGAACATTGGGGAGGGTATTGCTATGGCGAGTGCTGTGAATTGTGTAATACTGATGAATCACAGACCTGTACCCCTGAAACAAATAATACATTATATGTTAATTTAAAAATTAATTAATTAATTTTAAAGATATGAATGGCATTGGAAGTTACAAATAAATAGGCATTGTGGTAGAATTCTAGAACTAGAAAGAGCTAGAAGTCCAGGTCAAACCTTTAGCTGAGATGAACACCATAAGCCCCAGCAAGATAAGTTAAAGCCCCAGAAAGATAAGTTATTTGAATAGTTTAACCTAACATATTGTCTAATTGCAGCTATAAAATTAGGGGAGAGGGAAGCAAAAATAATTAGAATGAAAAATCTCTTCTATATATTTTTTGTTAAGGTAATAGATTTGTTTGTTACTAAAATGACGGTTTTTTAACAAAATGTGTTTGTTTGTCACTAATACATTCATTACCAAAATACATTTTAAAGATTCAATTGCCTAATACACCCTATTTTGAAATTAAATTATTTCAGTTAAAATTATAAAAAAAAAAGATACTCATAAAAAAAGATACTTTCCTCTTTGGAGAAAAAGTACTCTGGGCTCACACAACGCTTCTATATGCAGCATTTACATGCAGAATCTTGAAAGAAACAGAATTATGAACCAAACCAAAGCGTATAAAATCTTCCCCCTGAATCAGGTGACACTGGATATAATTTAACAATATCTCACTAAACACAAACTATCCAAATGAGGCTTACGTCCACAGCTGGTTATTTTGTATTTATTAAAATGAATTATGAAAACTCCAGGAAAAAAAATAGGTGAATATCCCACTGGTCCCAGATCATATTTTTTTCATTTTTGCTAAAGCTGACATTAATAAAATTAATAAGAGTGCAAAGGAAAGTTCAAATCTTGGAAAAATGGTGTTGTTTTTCTCCCTTAAATTTTTAATTATTTAACTTACTATAGAATTTCTACATTATTGAACTTTAGAGAGTCACTAGAACCCAATGGTTTTATGCTTTTTTATTTAATTAGGAAAATATGTTTCTTCTTTCATCAGTTACCCAGTTCAAATCTGCAAGACATAATACAGTGGAAAATGAATCAAAAGAGAAATTCTGTACTGAGAAAAATAAACCTAGAAAAATCACCTCAACAGGTAACATTATTTTATATTGCCTAATTCCTGAGTAACCAGACATGTACAGTAGCATCGGTTTTACTGGAATATATCTGAAAAGAGAGATTCCTCTACCACTATAGAGGGATGGTTTAGATCACTGTTTTTTATGGACCCATTATAGTCCATGACAAAAATATTCAACGATCCAAGGCAAATGAAAAAAATGAGCCTATAAAGAGTTCTAGATTTTTGAAAAGGTATTTCATTGAAATAATTGCATTTTATTATTTTTATTTCTGTTGGGGCATGTGCAAGTGCAGAATATAGTCAGAATATTTTCATTCTTAAAGTTCATGAGTATACTATTTTTTTTCTTACCGGGTAATGTTATTACATGCAAAACAATTGTAAATGGTAATCTTATGTTAATCTTTCTCTTGCTCTCTCATATTTGCGCACTTTTAAAAGTCAAGAAAACAATTATTTGGCCTTTCTGCTCTCTTTTTTTCCCAGTGGTTTTTATTACATTTTTAAATCTGTTAATTTAATTCTTAATTCCATATGAAAAACTATATGCCATTCTTCTTTTGAACATCCAGGTGTAAATTCTATTAGAAAGACTTATCAGTCCACAATGTAGAGTATATACAAATTCTGGGAATTCATTAAAACATTAAATTGGATTTGATATTTCCAAGCCCCCTTGACCACATTCTAAAACCTATCTGATACAACATATGTTCATTTTTTTCAACACGTGTGACTCTGAGGGACATTTTGTGAGACATCATCCCCAAAGCAAAAGCGTTGCAGTGTACCATACCTACCACAGAGGTGGTAGTAGTGGTATTAAATAAAACTCTAGCTTTAAGTTCTGTCAAGCTGTTTTTGTTTTCTTTTTTAAGATTTTATTTATTTACTTGTCAGAGAGAGAGAGTGTGTGCACAAGCAGGGGGAGCAGCAGGCAGAGGGAGAGAATCCTCAAGTGGACTCCACGCAGAGCTGGACCCGGGGCTCGATCTCACGTTCCTGAGATCATGACCTGAGCTGAAACCAGGAGTCGGAGGCTTAACCGACTGACCCACCTAGGCACCCCCAATGATCAGAGTTTTCAATCCTAAGGACTTATTTCCAAACAAGCCTGTTAGCTTTTGATAGTGTCCTATTATCTGATCTTTTTTTTTACTTATTCTTTTATTTTTTAAATAATTTAAAACATTATTATTTATGACACATATGATTTTCTTAAATACCTAAAGTCTTTTGTGACCACATCTGCTGTTTGTATTTCCTGCTATGTTGCAGGTTTTAAAAAGCATTTGGTATATTTTTACTTTAATTTGAATGATTTCAGTTGATGGAATTGCTAAAAAAATAAAGATATTTTCTTGCAAAAATTATTTACATTTTCATCTGCAGGGAGGCAGTGAGGAGCTAATGATTGGATGACTTGAGGCACTTTTGAAGACCCTGAACTAATCAGTCTCACTGACTCACTCCATCACCTTTTGGTGAATCCGAGGTCTAGTCTTATGACCCTAGCGCTGATATAAATCATTAGCCTTGAGGGGCACCTTCCCTTATGAACTCACTTATGCAAACGCTTCCCCATTCCACCCCTAGCTAAGTACCTCCCTTTAGCTCTTTCCCTTATTTCTTACAAGCTAAGCAATATTTTTTAATCTAATTCTTTTAGGATCTAGTTATCTTATAGCAAAAGTATCTTCAGAAGAGAGTTTTGTCAACAGTGTGCCCTAACATTTGTATGTATTAAGGTTCTTGAGCTATAAAGATCCAGGTGGTTAATTGGTAGACTGTAGACTTTATTTATTTATCTTGCTATACTTTAGAAATTTTTTTTAATATTCCATGATACAAAAATGGTTGGTACTATCTAGTCAAAGTATCTATTATCAGAAATATAGAAGTGAAAATATAGTAGTTTCTCATTAAATATGTTCTTGAAAGTCTCAGTTGCATTGTTGCTGTGTCTTTAGCTATAATTACAGCATGTCTTTGGCATTATTATCTGGAAAGGTTTGGATTTGGTGTATTATATCAATCTAAGAAGAACTGTACAAGCGAGACCATTGTGTGGACTTAATATTGAAAGCAAGAACAAAGGTCTTTTGAATGTACGTTGCTCACCTTACGCTTTTATTTTTACCCGTATGTTTGCCATTTCTGATGTTGTTCTTTCTTCAATATGAAAGTTTCCGTTTACAAACATTTCCCATCAGCCTGAAGAACTTCCTCTAACATTCATTGTCCTGACTATTTGATAACGAATCCTTTTAGTTTTCTTTTATCTGAAAGCATCTTAAGTTTGCCATGATTTTAAAAAGATATTTTCATTGGATATAGAATATTTTGTTGACATTTATTTTTTTCCCTTAAGCAATTTTTTAAGTTTTTATTTAAATTCCAGTTAGTCAAAGTACAGTGTAGTGTTAGTTTTGGGTATACAATACAGTGATTTAACAATTCCATACAGTACCCTGTGCTCATCACCGCAAGTGCCCTTCTTATTGCCTATCACCTACTTCACTCATCGCCCTACCCACCTCCTTTCTGGTCACCATCAGTTTGTCCTTTATAGTTAAGAGTCTGTTTCTTAGTTCCCTTCAACAACTTGAAGATATTTTTCACTCTATTCTGTCCCCCTATAATTTATGATGAGAATGAGGGTTTTTTTTTTTAAATAATCATATCCCTGTAAATGGCATGCAATTTTTCTCTGCTTTCAAGATTTTTCTCTATCTTTGGCTGTAAGCAGTTTATTTCATTTTTACATATAATTTTCTTCATATTTATCCTGTTTAGGGTTGGATAAGTTTCTTGAAAGGATAAATTTATAAATTTAAATAATTTGGAGAAATTTTAGTTATTATCCTTTTTTCCCCTTATTTTCTCTTTCCTCTGGTTCTAGGACGTCAATTTCTTTTCTTTTTTGCTGTATTTTTAAAAAGATTTTATTTATTTATTTATTTGTCAGAGAGAGAGAGAGAGCACAAGCAGGGGGAGCAGCAGACAGAGGGAGAAGCAGGTCCCCCGCTGAGCAGGGAGCCCGATGTAGGACTCAATCCCAGGACCCTGGGATCATGACCTGAGCCAAAGGCAGATGCTTAACTGGCTGAGCCACCCAGACATCCCTAGGACTTCAATTTCATATATGTTAGATATTTTTATATTGTCCTGCAAATCTTTGAGACTCTCCATTTTTTCCAACTTATTTTCCCTGTTTTTTTTACCTTACCTATTTTTATTTTGCTTAGTTTGACCTTTTTTTTCATTTTTAAATTGTTATGTTAATCACCATACATTACATCATTAGTTTTTGATGTAATGTTCCAGGATTCATTGTTTGTGCATAACACCCAGTGCTCCACGCAGAACGTGCCCTCTTTAATACCCATCACCAGGCTAACCAATCCCCCCAACCCCCTCCCCTCTACAACGCTCAGTTTGTTTCTCAGAGTCCATCGTCTCTCATGGTTCATCTCCCCCTCCGATTTCCCCCCCTCATTCTTTCCCTCCTGCTATCTTCTTCTTCTTCTTTTTTTTTTTAACATATGTTGCATTATTTGTTTCAGAGGTACAGATCTGTGATTCAACAGTCTTGCACAATTCACAGCACTCACCATAGCACATCTTCTCCCCATTGTCTATCACCCAGCCACCCCATCCCTCCCACACCCCCACCACTCCAGCAACCCTCACTTTGTTTCCTGAGATTAAGAATTCCTCATATCAGTGAGGTCATATGATACATGTCTTTCTCTGATTGACTTATTTCACTCAGCATACCACCTTCCAGTTCCATCCACGTGGTTGCAAATGGCAAGATCTCATTCCTTTTGATGGCTGCATAATATTCCATTGTGTATATATACCACCTCTTCTTTATCCATTCATCTGTCGACGGACATCGTGGCTCTTTCCAGAGTTTGGCTATTGTGGACATTGCTGCTATAAACATCAGGGTGCACGTACCCCTTCGGATCCCTACATTTGTATCTTTGTGGTAAATACCCAGTAGTGCAATTGCTGGATTGTATGGTAGCTCTATTTTCTTTCTTCTTTTTTTTTTTAGATTTTATTTGTTTATTTGACAGAGAGAGAGAGAGAGCGAGAAACAAGTTCCCCCCCAAGCAGGGAGCCTTATGTGGGGCTCGATCCCAGGACCATGGGAACATGACCCGAGCCGAACGTAGATATTTAACCATCTGAGCCACCCAGGTGCCCCTGGTAGCTCTATTTTCAACTGTTTGAGGAACCTCCATTTGTTTTCCAGAGTAGCTGCAACAGCTTGCATTCCCACCAACAATGTAGGAGGGTTCCCCTTTCTCCGCATCCCCGCCAACATCTGTCGTTCCCTGACTTGTTAATTTTAGCCATTCTGATGGGTGTGAGGTGGTATCTCATTGAGGTTTTGATTTGGATTTCCCTGATGCCAAGCGATGTTGAGCACTTTTTCATGTGTCTGTTGGCCATTTGGATGTCTTCTTTGGAAAAATGTCTGTTCATGTCTTCTGCCCATTTCTTGATTGGATCATTTGTTCTTTGGGTGTTGAGTTTGATAAGTTCTTTATAGATTTTGGATGCTAGCCCTTTATCTGATATGTCATTTGCAAATATTTTCTCCCATTCTGTCGGTTGACTTCTGGTTCTGTGGACTGTTTCTTTTGCTGTGCAAAAGCTTTTTATCTTGATGAAATCCCAATAGTTCATTTTGCCCTGGCTTCCCTCACCTTTGGCGATGTTTCTAGGAAGAAGGTGCTGCGCCTGAAGTCGAAGAGGTTGCTACCTGTGTTCTCCTTTAGGATTTTGATGGACTCCTGTCTCACATCTAGGTCTTTCAACCATTTGGAGTCTATTTTTGTGTGTGGTGTAAGGAAATGGTCCAGTTTCATTCTTCTGCATGTGGCTGTCCAATTTTCCCAACACCATTTGTTGAAGAGACTGTCTTTTTTCCATTGGACATTCTTTCCTGCTTTGTCGAATTTGAGCTGACCATAGAGTTGAGGGTCCATTTC